AAATCATATCAATTTAATTCAAATTGTGAACACTCTATATATACATACAATTTACCAATTTTATGCCATCAATAAAGACAAAATACATTTTGTAGAAATAAAAAGTATACTCTATATATACATTAACAAGGTCAGGTCACATCTCATTATGCCAATGAATATATAAATATAGATATTCAAGTTTCAACATGTGTGGTTCACAAATATACCAAATTCATACAAATTTTATGCCAACATAGAGTTCAAACTCAAGACCATCCCACTCCTATAAATTGCTTTATAGCATAAACAGATTCTGTCATGAAAATATGTGATTCACAGTGAGTTTTATTTTGTTTAAATTTGTTCACGTTCAGCACCACAACCTTCTTTATGTGGGGACATGAGATTACTATTAGAGTTTGGTTTTTTCTTCTACAATCACTATAAAAAAAAACAGTGTTTAGCGACGGATATTAGCGACGAATTAATTTCCGTCACTATATAACAACGGATTCGCAACGAAGTAGCCATTTCGTTGCAAAAGTTACAAATAATTTTTTGAGTTATAATATAGCGACGGATTAGCGACGGAATATGTTTTTGTCGCTAAAAAATAGCGGGAAACTTTGGCGCCCTAATTTTCGCTACGGATTTTGCAACAAAGTAGGTGTTACAAATTTATTAATATTCCGCGACGGAATTAGTGACGAAAAAGCGTTGCTAGAATTATAAATATATTTTTATGGAATTTAAATTTGTAGTGACGGAAATATCCATCGCTAAAATTTAATGTAAATAATTATATTTATTTAGTAGCAACGGATGTCATAATCCGTCGTTAAGTCTGTTGCAATTTTTTTAACCAAGTCATCAGGCCATAGAAAACACAAAAAGGAAACAAAAAATTACTATCCGTAAAAAATAGGATTTTCTCTTAGTGAAAGCTCCCATCTAGCGGAAGCTCAGGTGAAAGCTCTTAGTGAAAGCTTTGTATCAGGTGAAAGCTCTTGCTGAAAGCTCTGTATCAGGTGAAAGCTCTTGGTGAAAGCTCTGTATCAGGTAAAATTTCTCTTAGTGAAATCTCCGTCTCCTTCTCCTTTCAATTTCTCCCATCTCAGGTGAAATGGCTCCCGTCTCAGGTGAAAGGTGAAATTGCTCTTGTCTCCTTCATCCTCAGGCGAAAGGTGAAATTGCTCCTGTCTCCTTCATCCTCAGGTGAAAGGTGAGCTTCTGCCTTTGGTAATTTCTTTTTTTTTCATCTGTTCGGTGAGCTTCTGGTGCAATGAAGAGGAGGGCGTTGAGTTCCATTTGGTGAAAAACAACTGGGGAACGGGATGTGGTTATCAAGGATATGCCAAAATTAAACGTAGTGCACTCGCTTGCTTCTACTTTGCTCTAATTTCTGATTTTGAATATTTTTCAAATTTTGTTTAGTCTCTAACCTCTCTTGCTTCTGCTTTGCTCGACGAAATTCTTGAAATCTTATTTTGGTGGTGAAGTAGTCTCCAAGCTGGTCACTGTCTGGTCGCTGCCCAGAGAAAGGTAACGTTTCCTTCATAATCTTCTCCTCGTCTTCTTCTATTTCTGATATGTCTCGCTACTCTGTTGTTGTGTCACTGTTGTTTGTAGATGAGAACTGATGACTTCAATTTGCTATATATGTGTTCTTAATGGATTTCCTTGATTCATATTAATGTGGAAGTTGGGTTTTGTCGTTTAGTATTTAGTATTGTCGCTTATTTGTTCCTTTGTTTGAATCCTTTTTCGATGACTCCTCTTCGATATGTCGTAGAATCTCTGTTCTTCGTTTTCATTGTCTGTAAGCCCAGGTTTTACATTCAGTTTTGCTACTGTTAATGATGCTTTCTTTTCAAAATAAGGATAGAATCTTGAAGCTAACTAAGGTGAAGGTTGTTTGTGTTTTTGTTTTGCTGATGTACGTAGTAGCTTGTTGTCAAATCCCCTGATCATTCTACGAATCGAATTTATGTTTCCATCTGCCTAAATTTTAGTCAAAAATGCCCACTGTTTGTAATTAAGCTTATAAGGTGTGAAGTCATGTTACTGTCCAGATTGTAGTTTGCTTTCAAAGTTGTTGCCTATTTCTCTTTTCTGATCATCTCGGCATGTTGTTCTGCATGTATTTTCAATCTTTTTAAGTCCTTGAAGTTTGGCCTTGTTAAAAGGTTTGATATTGGTATAAGTATGTGTATGTTCTTGTTGAGTTAAATAAAATGTCACGGGTCAATCTTTGTTGGCCTTATTGTTCAATTCATAAAAGATTAGATGTAAACAATTAGGAAGTCACTGAATTTTGTTTCAGCAGTTATTAAAGTAGTATATGTTTGCTTTTGTTTTTATTTGATAGCTACTAGTTATCCTTTCG